ACCCTTCAATACTTAGATTCTATACCAGGAAAATTATAAAAAATTTATAAATTTTCCATATACAGAGTCTAATTAATGGGATGTTGTCTTGTATTTGGGGTCATTTTACATTTGAGCAAATATGGTGGTCAGAAGAAAGAAGAGGGGGACTAAGGCTAATAGTCATACGTTCACACAATTAAACTAGCTACCTACCTAGCTTGATGCCTCTGAATCACTTAAATCTATTGAAAAGAAAAGGGTTTTATTGTTGGGCGTGGGGTTGTGCTGTAGGGGGAAGGGTGATTTATTTTTTTTCCCCCTTCAAAAGCTTTGTGTGTTGCTCTGCTATATTTAGAGAAGTATGAAGAGAGTTGTGGAGCAACATATATAATGGGTGGTAAGACTAAATATTTTCAAAGGAGAGAAGCATAGTGCAGTATAAAAAAAAAAAACCAAAAACAAATCAACAAGGTGGAGAATGGGTGTGATCCTGCACCAGTGAAATCAAAAGGAGTTTTTCCATTAAGTTGAGAGGTACAAGATCAGAATCTTTGTGGGTGGTGTATACTTTAATGAGCTGTAAGCTTACCTAACAGACCTTAAGAGCTGTTTATGTTTTGAATTGTCCCAATGTTCAACTATGGAATAAATAAGACTTATGATCAAACATAGTCCCTAGTTGTTGTGCACTGTTCCTTTATCTAGCAAGAAGAGGTCACTACCAAGGCAATGTGCTCAGCCCTTGGGAGAGGAGAACACTAAACTTCATCTGTTTTGGCCTAGCAATCCAAGTGGCATTGGCAGGTTCTATTTTGTTCTTGAATAGTAATAATTTCATAGATTTCATAGACATTAGGGCTGGAAGGGACCTCGGAAGATCATCGAGTCCAGCCCCCCGCCCAAAAGGCAGGAAATCAGCTGGGGTCATAGGATCCCAGCAAGATAAACATCCAATTTACTCTTGAAGGTGTTCAGTGTAGGTGCTTGAACTACCTCTGATGGCAGGCTATTCCAGACCTTGGGGGCTCGGGCAGGAAAGAAATTCTTCCTTATGTCCAGCCTGAAACGGTCTTGCAGTAGTTTATAACCGTTTGACCTCGTCATCCCTCAATAAATCATTGATTATTTTTTCTGCCATACATGTACATTACCTGATAAATCTGTGGCCACATGTAATTTATTCAGTTCAGAATAAGACTGTTGTTTTGAACAATTTCAGGAAGAAACCCTTTTTAAATCTTATTCCACATTATCTCTGTTACTTGTACGAGTATTGCTGCCTTTCTCCTCCTCAACCTCTTCTTCTACATTGATAAAATATCAAACATCTGTAAATAAATAAGAAAAACACTGGGTTTCTTTATCAACAGGGCAAGTTCTTGTAGAGATCTCAAGCACGCACAAGAAACTGAATGACAGTCTAGATGAAAGTGTAAGTAAATATTTCATTAACTTTTTTGAGATTGTACAAGAATATTTCTTAACTTTGTAAATAACCATAATATAATTTGCTTGTTTTTAAAGTTCAAAAAATTTCATAAAGAAATTATTACTGAACTAGAGAAGAAAACAGAGCTGGATGTAAAATATATGAATGTAAGTACATTGAACCTTAATACCACAACAGATCAATTTCATTTCTTTACATTGTCCCTTGCTTTAACATCTGTTTCTGCAGCACATAACTGTATATAATATTCACTCTTAAAGTGTGTTAAAAGACATTCCTCTTATCTTAGAAATTATTTAGTATCGTTTAGTCTTAAAATATATTAACATATGATCTAAATACTAAATTTGAAAAATATGTAACATTATTTTGTATAAATGGAAAACTTGTTTTAGCTGGAGAATAATGTTTTGAATTAGAGCTGCTAATATGAAGAAAAGCCATTGACAAATACGTTGATTCAATATTAATCCAGATTTATCATTCAAGGCATTTCTTAGCCACTTGCATAGTTCTTTCATAGTTGCATTAGAGCACAAATTGTAAGATGTTTAAATTCTTTGATTGCAGGCAACTTTAAAGAGATACCAAACAGAACACAAAAGCAGGTTAGATTCACTGGAGAAGTCACAGGCTGAGCTGAAAAAAATCAAAAGGAAAAGTCAAGGTGGAAGGAATGCAATGAAATACGAGTATAAAGAAATTGAGGTTTGTGTACCGTATCCCCATGGATTGCTTGCTGCTCTTATGGAAGTCTCTTAACAAGATCAGTCATTGTTATAAAATATTATAATCAGAGCTTTCTTCTGAATCTAGTTTCTCCTGACTTCTTCTCTTTTCTTTCTTTCTAAGAAAAGAAAAAAAAAACCTGCCCACCATTTTCTGTGCTTGCATTGTAATTATTTGTCTAGATGCATTCTTCTATTTAGCTGTTTGGCAACAGTAAGACAATACGACTTCGAACAGGTTACATTGCTTTATTGATTCCCCAAGGCTGTTTTGTTTTAAAGACACTGTTAGCAAATGAACTCACACAATGAAAATTACCGTTTAGGGCCTAGTTCTACAGAACTTTTATTTTTCTGGTATACCACACAGAAATGAAGAAATGTTTATAAATAATTTTTTTCTAGAGTCTGTGTCAAATTCTGACTGCAGGGATTCCTGACTGTGGTTGAATTGCTCGATCAAAAGCTAAGTGTTAACCTTCGCACAGCCACTGGTGAACAGGCAGCAGTTGTTGGCTGCTCAGCCAAAAGCTACTGCCAATTCCACAGCAGGTGTGAAAGGGTTAATACGCTAGTTCTGACCCTGAGGGGTGAACTCTGCCCCCTCTGTCCATGAGTCTGGCAGGGGGAGTAGTATGGAAGTAATTTTACAGCATCTCTGTGCTTCTATTCTTTCATTACAGCAAAGAATACCAGCATTCCCACTTAAGACATGCACCCCTATTCTAGAGAGCTGATTTTTTTGAGGGGGTGGGGAGAAGGTAGTTTGGGACATGAATAAATATGGTATATAGGTAGTCTCACTGATTGCACTGCACGTGTAGGATTGAACCTTTAAAAATGGGGGGAAAAGCTGCATCTTCAATCGGATGTGGCTGTAAATAGTATGTTTTGGTCATCTGACCACAAGATTTTTTTTATGATAATCAAGCAGGACAGCTAAATATCACCAGTGCCTACAATTAATAGAGGCAGACTCAGTATTCTAATACTGAATTCACCTCTGTTCCTCAGCAAGGCTCAGACAAAGTAAAGAGGTGGGGTGCAAGGGGGCCAAACAGTTTATAATTCCTTTCAAACTTCTGTTATACTGGGAAAAGAATGGGGACAGCTTTATGGGTTAATCTACATTAGGAAGTTGCTGCTCTAAATGAGGGCATGCATTTGCAGTGTATTAGCTATTTCTCACTAATTCTGTGTGGCTTTTCTTAGTGGGTGCATCTACACGAGACACTACTGCACAGTAGCCTAATCTACTGTGCAGTAAAGCATCGCTATCTACACGTGCGGGGCATTTACTGCACAGTAAATTAGGCTACTTTGTAGTTAGCTAGTACCTGTAAATATAGATATTAGATTTACTGCACAGTAACACTCATGTAGACGCTGACTGGGAGCAAATTTGCTCCCAGTCAGCCTAGGAAGCAGGGGGCCAAGGGGACAGGGAGTTCTCTGTTCCCAGTCCTGGTGTTGCTCAGCTCCCAGCTCCCCTCAGGAGCCAGGAGCTGATCAGCACTGGGACTAGGGAGCTTTCTAACCCCTGTCCTGGATCCGAGTGCAGAGCTGGCTGCTCTGGAGGGTGAGTGGGGACTGGGTTCCAGAGCAGCCAACTCCATGCGAGGCTTGCCAGCAACTGCCCCACACCTGAGATGGCTCCCAGCAAACCTCAGGGGGCTCACTGGCAGCTTTGTGTCCTGATTAGGCATGTGGCCAACAGAGCTCTGCCCACTGCAGGTGCAGCTGTCTTTTCACCTGATGCACATCAGGTCCCCTCCGGATGTGCGTGGGGCCAGGAGACAGTTGCCATTGCAGCCAGTAGAGCTCTCCTGGCCCCATGCCCCTTGCTAACACCTGGGGGAGCCTGGAGCTCCCCCTGGCTACTGCAGGGTGGCAGGGCAGGGCAGGAGCAAATCTGCTCCCAATGGAGAGCATGTATAGACATGCTTCTGAGGTAGGCTTACTGCACAGTATTTTACTGCACAGTAAGCCTAATGCTAATTAATAGCACATGTAGACATGCCCAGTGTGCACTTAAGTACCCTTGCATGTGAGCAAACTTACTCCTTTGTCAAAATTTAGTAAAAGAGTTGTTAGCTCTTCTATTTAGTTGTTAAACAGTAGTCGTCTTGAGCTAATGATGGGTGAAGTTATACCTCTATATAGTTTGTGTATCAGTTGAATTTTTAAAAGTGTTTTAGGATTCTTTTTTCTGAAAAGTGCTACACAGACTATAGCATACTATCATTATTGTCTTTCCTACTGATTTTGTAAACAGCATTGCCACCTTGAGGAAAAATCAAAAATGGTTAACACTCTGGAGATGGGAGTTACATTTTAGTGTTACTTCAAACAATGAAAAGTGGAGTTCAGATTATGAATTGTGTAAGATGGTTTGGACAGGGATAGTTTCATAGTTGTTAGGGGCTGGAAGGGACCTTTCAGATCATTGGGTCCAGCCCTCCTGCAGTTGGGTAGAAAAGACTGCTGGGATCAGATGACCCCAGCAAGATGGGCATCGAGATGCTTTTTGAAGATCACCAGGGTGGATGACTGTACCCCCTCTGGGGGGAGCCTGTTCCAAATGCTCGGTACTTGACTTATAAAGTAGTTTTTCCTTATGTCTAGCCAGAAGCGATCCTCAATCAGCTTGTTTCCATTATTTCTTGTCCCCGCCCCGGGGGACCTTGGTGAACAGATGCTCTCCCAGGCCCTGATGTACGCACCTGATATACTTATAGGCTGCCACCAAGTCCCCTTTGAGTCTTCTCTTTTCCAGGCTGAACAGTCCCAAGTCTTTCAGCCTCTCCTCATATGACCTGATCTCTAGGCCTCTGATCATGCACATGCCCCTCCTTTGGACCCTTGAGCTTCTCCACATCCTTCCTGAAGTGCAGAGCCCAGAACCGGACACAGAACTCCAGCTGCAGTCACCAAGTCTGAGTAGAGAGGGAGGATGACATCTTTAACCTTGCTTAAGATGCCATGATAGATGCATGCCAGTGCTTGATTAGGTCTGCCAGCTATAGCATTGCATTGGTGGCTCATGTTCATTTTATTGTCTATCATGACACCCAAGTATTGTTCAGACGTGGTGCTAACAAGCGTAGCACTGCTGAGCCTGTAAGTGTGTTGTGGATTATTTCTCCCCAGATGAAGCACTTTTACATTTCTCCGTAGCAAACGACATCTGGTTGAGGTCCGCCCAACTTGCAAGCCTGTCCAGGTCGGCCTGTATTGCCAGCCTGTCTTCGAGTGTGACCACAGTCCCCCATAGTTTGGTGTTGTCAGCGAACTTTGCTAGTTCTCTTTTAATACCCAAATACAAATTGTTGATGAACATGTTGAAAAGCACTGGTCCGAGTACTGAACCCTGAGGGATGCCACTGGTCACAGTTCCATCAATCAATACTCTCTGGGTCCTACCATGGAGCCAGTTACCTAGCCACTGGACCATAAAGTTCTTGAAGTTGCATTTTCCCAATTTTTTCATGGCAGCTTTGTGGGAGACCAGGTCAAAGGCCTTTTTGAAGTCCAGGTACATGACATCAACTTCATTTTCCCCATCCAGGTGAAGAGTAACCTGATCATAGAAGGAAATGAGGTTGGTCTGGCATGACCTGCCCATAACAAAGCCACGTTAGCTGTCCTTCAGAATACTGCCTTATGCTAGCCTTCTGTAAGGGATTCTTTGATCATTTTCTCCAGGATTTTACCAGGGACTGAGGTCAAGCTGATTGGTCTATAATTTCCCAGGTCCTCCTTTCTCCCTTTCTTTAAAGATAGGCACCACATTGGCCTTCTTCTAATCTTCTGAGACTTCTCCCGAGCACCATGAGTCTTCAAATAACTTTGCCATAGATAGCGCGATGACATCGGCCAGTTCTTTTAGCACCCTCGGGTGTAGTTCACCTGGTCCTGCTGGCTTGTAGATATTTAGCCTTTGTAGATGCTTCCCCACAAGATCTATGCCAACTGTGCAGGGGTGGTCACGCCCACCATTATCATCCTGTATCCTGTCAAGCAGGCTAACACCCTTGGACTGGTAGAGCTAAGAGCCTTGGACTGGTGGGATGATCCTGGCTCAGGCAGGGGGCTGGACTAGATTACCTCCGGAGTTCCCTTTCAGCCAGAGTTCTCTTTGATTCTGTGATATTGTATTCCTTGTGATTTGTTCGTATGTCTTCCATTTCATGTGTTATCTTTTATCATGTATTTTCAGTTCCCGTTTTTCTCTTAAAATCATTTAAGTTTTAATCAAGTGTAAATATAATGTTCAGCTGCTGTTGCTAATCACCTGTCTGTTAACCTAAGATAAGTACAGGAAAGATTGTCTTGTGCTTAACCTACTCCACTAAGGATTCAGATTGAAGTTTCTCAACCTTACACAAATTTCTTTGACCTTGGTCAAATCCTATTGACTCAGTTCTCCATCTTTAAAAATAAGGCATAAATATTTTCATGCTTCAAATGATTTTGAAGGTAAATTTGATTACTGAAACCAGTTGATCAGCTAATGTCTGAGTTGTTTGGCATCAGGAGAATAAGCACTCATCTAAAATGTAAAAGATTTAAAGCAAAAACTTATTGTGCCATTTTAGTAATGATGTTTATTTACACTGCTGATTTTTGTCTCACAAGTTCAGTCAAGTCAGAAGTCAAACTTGTAGCCTGCACACAGTTCATATTATAATTATGTATTTATTTAGTATTTGGAAACAGTCACTTCTCGACAGAGTGATATTCAAAGATTTATTGCTGAAGGTTGCAGAGAAGCTCTCCTTGAAGAAAAAAGAAGATTCTGCTTTTTGGTTGACAAGCATTGCAGTTTTACTCAACACATGAACTATTATCATATACAGGTCAGTGTTGCTCTGAAGTGCAGAGGTAGAAATGGGGGTCTCATCAGAACAGAGACATTTTCAATAGGTTATTTTATGTTTGTTTAAGCAAAGAAATAATTGCTTACTTTTGAAACCAAGGAATGAAAGACTTGTGCCAATCCACTTGTACTCCCAATATCACAAATAACTTGCACTAAACATTATTTCTATCACATGGCTTAGTGTTAAATTGATATATTTAGTTTATATACTAGCTAAATATTAAAGCTTCAATGTTAAAAGACTTCATAGAGGTTGCACTGGTGTGGTACAACTAAAGTTAGAATGTAGTCCATTGCAATTCAAATGTTGCTTTAACCAAAAAATATGCATGTTTTATAACTTCATTTTTATTGGTTGCAGTGTACAGATTTACTTAACTCCAAGTTGCCTGTGTGGCAGGAAACCTGTAGTGATGCCACAAAAGTGCCAGAGAAAGTTATCAATATGATAGAAGAGATAAAGACACCTGGTTCCACTCCAATATCAGGAACTCCCCAACCTTCACCAATGATAGAAAGAAATACTGTGGTATGCATTTCCTCATTAATTGCAAGTAAAGACTGACTTCCCTGATTTTGTATGTGTATAAACTTTACGATTTAAGTCTTGAGACTCTGGAATTACATATGGCGAAAAAACTCGGTAGCAAGCTGGACCCTCAGTTCTGTAACTGTATCCATTAGACAGATGCATGGACCCATACAAAGCCTTATTGACATTAGCAGGGATCCTGGTTTCCTCTGTTTAAAAATCACAAATTCTCTGATAAAAATGCAGGTTCTCTGATTTAAAAACCCCAAAATCTGCAGTTAAAATGAGATGTGTGTATATCAATTGAACACAATGTTTTATTGATAAATTTACAATTTTAAAGCAATCTGGAAGCCTACCAGTACCTCAATCGCTATAGTAAAATAAATTCTAAGTACCTGTAAATTTTGTTATTTGATGATTTTGGGTTTTTTATCATGAAAAATCAGAGCTCCCCCTACCCCCTTAGCTCATTAGGATGCAGTTCCAGGCCCCTCACTTCCAAGCCACAGCCCCCCACCACTGCTGGTGCTCCTCACTCCCCAGCCACAGGTCTCCCCACCCTGTATCCCTGCTGGAGGCAGCCCCCTGCTGCCAGGGCTACAGCCCCTTTTCCCCCAGCTGCAGTGCCCAAGCCCCAGCTGCCACCGGCAGCAGCTACTGCGACAGAGCAGAGCATGGAGCCCAGCTCCCCACTCCCCCATGGGCGGCACAGCCGAAGCAGAGGCAGCTGTGGGTTCAGGCTCCCCATCTTGCTGCCCCCACTCTGGGGCCTCCGCGGCCCAGCAAGTGGGACCCAACACGGCAAGGCAGAGCAGGGCCAGGCGGGAAAGCTACATGCTGTTGCAAGCCTCATGCCACCCTGGCAAGGTGCCCCCCAGATATGTGTGCAGGGTGGGGGCAGGCTACCTGCTGTGGGCTTGGGGCTCCACACCCTACTGTCCTCCCCCTGGGGCCTCCGTGGCCCAGTGGGCAGGACCAGATATGGCAGGGCAGAGTGGGGCCAGGCAGGGAAGCTCCTTTACACTGTGAGTCCTGTGTTGCCCTGGTGAGGCACCCCCTGCCTGCCTGGCAGCAGCGGAGGTGGTGGTGCAGATCTGTGCCCTTTCCTGCTGCTAGGCAGCTCATCTGGGGGACAGCGGGGAAGGAGGGGGCTGGCTCCCCACTGCTGCTGCGTGCACTCCCAGAGGGGCAATTCAGTGCTGCAAATAATCCAAGATGTCCATGTCACTTCATTAATCTGTTAATACTATATTAAAATTTTGCATCTGTAGATTGGAAAAAATTATTATCCTCTTCATGAAAATGCAGCAAAAGTGCCTCCTGCTCCCACAAGTAGAGCATATACTAGTCCTTTAGTTGATATGTTTAACAATCCAGCAGCAGTTCAAAAGGCACCTTCAGAAAAACTAAATAATTCAACAGGTGAGTTTTTCCTTATTTTCATGCTGAAAGTGGGTTTCATTTTTATCTCAGTATAGATATACAAGCAGTACAAATGCTATGCATTGTTGTCTATCAAACATTTGTGCATTTCTTCTCACTTCCAAAATAGTCACCAGTCCAATGTTTTGACTACATGGCGTTCTAACAGGCATTGAGAAATGTCTACTGGAGGGACGTTTGGTGTTTTTTTCCTAGATGTTAATGTCTTGCAAAGCCTCATACAAACATTCAGTTTCTCCTGGGAGAACAGATGTTTGTACAGGTATTCACTGGACTGTGCTGCTCCAACTGGGAGTAAAAAAAATGGCCCCTTCATAATCCACACATCGTGTTGCAGAGAAACACAGATCAACCATGGACAATCTGGGTCTGCAAATCAGGGTTGCCCTGTGCCCTGCAGGTATCTGTTGCTAGGCAGACTAAGGGAGGCTGCAGAACATGCTGAGCTGTGTGCACAAGCCTCCCTCTTCCTCCTCCCCTGGTTTCAGTGTCAGCATTGCAAGCTCCTCATTCTTCAGGGCATCAGCATTTGAAGTCTGTACATGCAACTCTGAATAAGCTTTTGTACCAGGAGAACAAACCTAGGAGAATTCTCCCACATTATCTGAATGCATGCATGCAGCCTTACTGTAATAGGGAACTATCTAATAGGAAAATGTAAAATCCTGTACAGCATAAATTGAGAGAAACCTGTAAAAGGAAAATCTTTCATGCATATGTACATTAGCAATATCTAGCCACTAGATAAAACCAGCAGTGGCCATTAAAAGCCTGTAAAACTCTTACATCTACTGGTTTAATGTTGTAATATTCAAAGTATTTCTTATATTAACCACCATAATATTGCAGTAATGTTAAATACTTGCAAATGGCACCTGTGAAGATTGTAATGGGAAATCCCTGCGCCAGAACAACAGATAGTAGGAAAATTCGTTTTATTTTGGTTCTGCTTTACTGTAGTTTTATTGGGCAGCTTTTACCTTTGTTACCTTGCGGTTAACATCACAATGATTTTTTTTTTTTAATAGATCATTCAGATGATGCTAATTTATGCCGTTCAACCTCGGTTGCCACAGGACTGAATATAATGAAAAGACCAAAAGTAAAAACAATCTTTCCGCATACGGCTGGAAGCAACAAGACCTTACTTAGCTTTGCACAAGGAGACATCATCACACTTCTTGTAGCTGAAGAAAAGGATGGCTGGCTTTATGGGGAACATGACTTGACTAAAGTGTACGTCAATATATTGCCAGGTTTTGAGATAAGGCACAAATGTATCTTACCAGTTCTGTGAGGGTTTTTTGCTGGAGGTCACTGCTTTTGGACTGTGGGGAAGACTCCTCAGTGGTCAGGAAAATGATGCTATTGAGACATATATTCGCAATACATAAACAAAATCCATTTAATACTATCAGTTACTATCAAGAGCCAAAACAAGTGGCTAAGATACTATCCAGATTTTACTGTGATGAGCTTAAGGTTACACCATACCAAACTTTAAAAATATATTTAAGTGAAAATGTTTTGTCGTTTTCTTTCATCCTATTTACAGAAAAGGTTGGTTTCCATCATCATACACAAAGCCACTGGAAGAACCAGCTGAAAACAGACTACCTGCCCCAGTGCCAAGGTAATGTCAGTTTGAAGAAAGATTTGCACTGTTTTAAACTGTTTAAACTTTATAAACATTCTCTGTCCATTTTTTTTTTAAATTCTCTTGGTGTTTGTCATTCAGGAATATGTTTTTCTTGATTATGTGACCATTCTCCCCCACCCAAAGACTCCCATATTTAAGGTTAAGCACACATGTTCTTTGCCAGATTAGGGTCCAGAAAGCAATATTAATTGTTTTAATTAATCTAACATTTGCCTTTTTTCCTTGTAGCCCTGTACCAATCAGAAGTATCAGTTCTGTAAATCTATCAGACAAAGGTGGTGTTGTCCTCCCCGCACCAGACTATCTAGGACCCTTGAAAATAGGTGCAATTTCAGATAAGAGACTGGATTCTTCCAAGGATACAATTGTGAAAGTACCAGTAGAAAGACCAGACAGCACAACTCCTGTAAGTAAAACTGCATCATGACTTTTAATCAGATAATTACGAGTTCAAATGTTCCTTTCCAACCCCTTGCCACTCAAAAGTTAGACAGCCCTGATTTAAATAATCTTAAAACAATTCAGAACATGGAGCAAAATGTGGCATTTCACAAGACCTGTGCAACTCCACAGAAGTTAACAGTAGTACGTAAAAATGGGGGGAAAAGTCTGCAAAGAACCTTCTGCTGGCAGAAGGATAGATGGACATATATGCAAGTCTATACCCTCAAGAACACAACTGAATTAAATACATGTAAAATAAAATAAATATTCTGATTAATCCATTAAATCAATGTTCAAACAATGATGTATGTTGAAAATTGCTAATAGACTAAGGACCTGAGTATTATATTGAAGTATATCTTGGATCAGTAAATAACCTGCTTAGAATGATCAAAGGATGCAATAAAATACAAATGAGAGTACTTGGTCTCTGATATATTGACAAACCTTGTTGATATAGAAAACAAGTAGTAGCTTTATCAAATAAACTGCCTTTCTATTTCTCAGTTTCCTATTTTATGATAAATTTTAGAATATAATTGGAGGTATGTAGAGGGGGTAGATGCACTTAGATTAGGCAGAGTCTATTCTCTAAACATTTGGTAAAGAAAAAAAGGGAGCATTTACACATGAAGTAAAGAAATAAATTTGTCTGAATTTTCTCTGGGGAATAAGTAACTTTGTTTTGGAAAAATCATTTGTTATAACTTCAACATTTAAACTGGCACTTTTTTAATGAAATACACAACCCGTAGTAAAAGATGCAACTGCACAAATAAAGCCAATTACCTAAAAAACTGCTAGGAGTTCAGCTACCTGAGTCTTCTGGTAATGCCCTCTCTTTTATTTGGATTCCTAAATCCACTGTACAGTAGTGGGCTTCTGTTGATCCTCTGCTGTCTGACTTAAGATATTCCACAGCATCCACACACAGCAGAATTCCTTTTACAGCCAAACTTATATCACTTGCAGATGCAGAAACTTAGATTCCCTGCCAAAGAAGTTTTGAGAGAGGGGGAAAAAAACCCAGTGTTCTTCATTAAAAGAAAATGTATGACTGTCAGACTATACAAAACAGCAAATGCTACAGCTGAGATCAAACTCAGTACAGAGGAGGAGGAGAAGGAGCAGTTGCTTGGCAGGGTCTTCTCCCTGTGGGAATCCTGTGTTAAGAAATTCCCAACTTCCTCTCTTTGGTCTGAAAAAGTGCTTTTTGTTTTTGAGACAGTTGAACTTCAAACCAAACCCCAAACAGCAACCACAACAACAACAAAAATATTTCTGCAGCAGTTAACTGGTCATTGTTGGAACATAGTGACATTTGCTGCTGGTTTTGTTTCTGATATCATTTATGTTTTATGTAATTACCAAAGGTGCCTAGAGTCTGAAATAAACATCTTTTTCTGATAAGATTTAGATTTGTAAGTTTAAGAATATCACATGGTCTCCGAGAACAATGAATCTACTAAACCTGGTGTGTGGCATGCCAATAACAAAACTGTATCAAATATTATATAACATATTGCATACCTACTTAAGACTCTCCTGCTTATATTTATTAATTTTCAAGAATTATTTTGTTGTATGGATATAGAGTAGAAGATGGATTCTGGTATCTTACCAGAACTATAGTCTCAAAAGAGAAACAGTAATTCAGCTACCCTATAAGCAGTACTCTGGTTATATAGTCACTTCTGTTAGGTTTCAATCCATTCAATGCTCATATTTCAGAAATATTTTCTGTAACTTAAAATAACAACACTATCTGTCTTTTTTTTCTTTTTCCTGGCCTTCCCACATACTTCTTTTAGTGCAGCATATTACTTTTTGAGGTGCATGCCTGTTCCTTGGGAAAGGAGGAAGCAATTACCATCGCAACACTTGCTAGAACTCCTATCATAAATACCTTCTGTATTTAATGTTTCTCAATGGCCATATTGCACTTCTTATAAACTCTGTAGGCAACTGGGCTATCACTTTATTTGATTCTGAAAGTATTATACTGCTAAAGAACTGGTAACCATGTTTTGTTACTACCCTACCAGATGTTTTCTATACTTGGAACAGATGTGACTAGTTGCTATTTTTCAAGGCAGAAGGGTCTTTTAAATTCCCTATTAGGAGCCTTTTAATTTATGAAGAGTACATTCAGATTGTTCAGTGAAGGCTCTTTGTAAACCATTTCCAAAATTATTTTTGAAGCCACAATTCATGAAGGGTTTTACTCATTACTGACAATCTGCTGCAAAGAACTGCATAACCCCACTATGATGTAGCATTTCTAGGACAATGTATTTCTACAGAAATATACTTTCACACTATGAAATGGATTGCCGAGAAATAAGATTTATATTCTAGCCTTTGGACAGTTTGTTGATTTAAGGATCGAGGCGCTTCCAAAACAATTATGTGAACCAAGCACCTATATTTTGTCAGCTGCAATTTTATTTTTTGGATAAAAATGTGTCTTAAGGGTTACATAATGTCAGCATTATATATTGGTTCATTTTATTCTGTGGCTAACTGATGTTCAGATCACCTTTTAGATCAACATGTCCTTTTGCTGTAATTATATTGGCAATGGTTTAAAGATTTATTAGCCCGGTAAAAGTTGCTAAGCAAGCAGTACAGTGAGTTCTCTGCAGCGAGACAGGCAAAAATGTGACTTACTGTAGAACTGTTAAATGACTGCATCAGTTGTCTCAGTCTCATTGTACTATTGTATTTTATATGGTCAATTTAGCTCCAGTGGCTTCTAAACAACATTTACTCCAGGTTTTGTTAAGATGAGCAAGTGTAACAGTAGTAACCCCCATGCTTCTGTTGTGCATAAAAAAAAAAAAACAGGAAAAAGAAAATCCCTTCTAAAATTCTAGCCAGTTTTCTTGGGAGTAGGGTGAGCTTATGGCTTTTTTAAAAGGGAAGACAGGAAAACCCTGTGGATCCTAAATGTCCACCAGGAAAGAGAATTCAACAGATCCTGCAGCATCTGAGAGGTCATGGTTCATCGCTCTTGTCTGGGCCCCTCCCAACCTCTGCCGGCAGAACTTCCTCTGCGGCCATGTGCTGCTCCCTATCTTGGCTACAACAGAGAAGGGAGCTGTAGAGAAGAGTTTCTGCCAGTGAGACCAAAATGTAAGCATAGCAAGGAAACTATAGCTGCTCCATAATTCTGTTACCCCCTTATCTACTTCAGCTCCTTTAAAGAACCTATAGAATTTGGAGCAAGTGCAGTTTACACAGGAATCTACCTAGGAGTACGATACAGAGCTGCTCCCTGCTCCACCCACTTCTGTGCAAGTCTCTCCTCCTCTCCCTGCTTCCTCGAATGCCGTGGAAACCAACTCAATGTGACAGGAAGCTGTCTGTAAAATTTTGAAATATTTTGTTCCATGTGAACACTACAACAGTATGCAACTTGTAATGAAGCATAGTATGATTCACTGGAATATCTGACCTCTAAAAAGTGGATAGCCTAGGCTAGGGACAGAAATTACACTTAACAGGCATTAAGCACACAGAAAGTGCCTTGTAGCTGTAACAGAACAGATGCTCACAGTGCATAAAGCGCTTAAAAATGGCGGATCTCACTTTAACAAACGTCTGTACCACATCCAATCCTGACTTAAGGTAGGTGACATTCCTCCAGCATCCCAGGGCCCCCTTGCTGGGCAGCTTGCTAGCCTTGGTCAATGCTAATCTGCTCTGGCTCAGCCACACCCCTGGGCTGTCACAGAGAAGAGACAGAAAAGCCTCTGTCTTCTCCCTGCGTGGCCAGGTAGGGAGTAGGGGGAACAGAGCCCCTTCCCCAACCCTACCGCAAGTACCCCTCCCGCAGCTTGCTGGCTGGGGGCCCAGGGGGAGAGGAGGAGGCACGCTGGACCAATGCAGCAGGGAGACTCCCTTCCCTCACCTGCAGTTCCTGGCATGGCAAAAAGCTGAGCCACGCAGCCCTGTGCTGCAGCTGTCAAGAGACAGGGAGGGGGCTAGAAGGGAGTCCCCCTGCAGCTGGACCTAGCCCAGCCACCTGAGACCCCAGCCAGCAAGCTGTGGGAGAGAGACCTCACAGCAGGCAGGGCCCCCTAAGCAGCCCCCCTCTCTTCCCCCCCCCCCCCCCCCCCCCTCCCCCCCCCCCCCCCAGAGCTGCAGGATGGGGCTGCCTGGCCCAGCTTTTTGCCATGCTGGGAAATGTGGCCTGGGGGGAAGGGAGCCCCCTGCCCCCACAGCTTTATTGTCTGGTGTTTCAGGGGGGGCCGAGCTGGGCTAGGGTACATTCAGCACCCCCCCATTGCCCCAGCCTCTTGATACCTGCAGCCAGAAGCTGCAGCATAGGGCTGCCTGGTCCTGGCCCCTCATCCCCACAAGCTCCCAGCCAGCAAGGGGGCGGGGCCTCCCCTCCCCTTCCCTCTCCTCTCCTTACTCCCTAGCCACCCATGCTGATAGCTGCCTGCTGGCAGAGGGGTAGGGCTGGGGGAAGGAGCCACTCCAGTAGCCCGCAGGAGCCCCCCAACTTGGTGGCCTTGACCAGTGCAGGCAGGCTCTAAGCCCCTCCCCCCAATGTCAGGGGTTCACTCCCTCTCTGTCCTACAGCACTTCAAGTAAAGCACGATAGTTAAGCGTGCTTGCGCCAGGGGCTTTTTGAACATCTGTATCCAGCCTTAATGGCTTAGCCCCTGGGTTTCTTCATCTGTGTTCTTGGTTTAAATCTGATGGAATTAGTTGTCCAACCTTCATTAATTTAAAAAAAAAATCCCTGGGAACATGAACATTTCATTTAAAAAGATTAGTATAACAGCCCACATTTTTAAAAATACTTGATAGTTCACAGGTAAAGATTTGTTTTTCCTTGCTTGTTGTGTTTTATCAGAAACAGCATGCAACTCGAACTCCAGTTTACCAGTTATGGAAGCATGTATCTAACCCTAAATACATGCTTTCAGTGGGATTACTCAGGTGCACTGTTAGTCATGTGCTTCAGCCTCCTGTTGAACTGAGGCCTACATCAGTATGGATTTCAGAATACCATTGGACCCAACTAAAATTATGGAAGTTAGAGCCTTAATGTATGTAAAGCACAAAGGGTTCATACACATTTTAAGTGATATACTTTTTATTCTGACAGTTGTACACTGCAAACGTCTAAACCTAATAATTCCCTCTACTGGGTGTTTTAGCGTAGACCAAATGAAGAGTCACACATTTACCTAGCTGCTGATCATGTATTCCTGTAGCTATATGTATATGCAAATGTAACAGTAAATTTTCATTCCTTTTGAGCTGCCACTTTCATTTTCCTTTTGATGCCTGTTAGAGTAATTATGCAGGGTTAGAGTTATTCTGCAGTGTAATGTAATGAATTATTTTAATGTACTGATTTATACAGTTGATTTAGTCTCTGATTTTTCTCATCTGTACTGATATAGTGGAATCTATATTTAATAGCCACCAAACTGTTGAATAGGCATCTGAAAAAATATTACTTTTGATGAAAGTTTTCCTGTATCTCAACTGGAAAATTGACTATGGCAATAACATTATGGTGGTGTAATACTGCCATCTTCTGGATTATCTGAACAACTTCACAAAAATGAAAAGTATCAGTTTCATTCAGAAAATAATACACAGTAATTATTTTTTCTACAGAAATAATGTAATGTATCATATTTAACTGTACTGTTGTAAATGTACTGAAATGCTAGAGATGGATAATCAAATTATTTCCTGCATGTATATCATCCTCTTCTTATACAGTGGAGAAAGGACACATCCATGTAATGTTGTTAACTCTGCCTTTGATTGGTAAGGTGTAGTTACAAACACATTTCATACCTTGTATTCCTGCAATTGGGAGTGCAGTTGGGCTGGTATGACAGAAGTAAGAACCAGGTCCCTCCTATTTTTCATTCCAAATATGCCATTAAATTTGGCTGCTATTTTTCATTCTTTCACTTAGATTCATGATATGTTAGGACAAAATCCAGCAACACCCTCCTCATAATGTAACATCAACAGCTGGCCTTTCTAATTGCATTGTTGCAGCTGAACAGGTTTATTAGATGCAGCCATTTATGCATCAGCACGATAACCAGAATTTAAACTCTGTTCATGTTAATGACTACTGTAAGTAATGCGGCTTTTACATTTTCAGGAGTGATTTAAAAATTCCAACATAATCTGTTGCATGCTGTAAATCAGTCTAATCCAGTGTTCTCTCTCTCATTTTAGACTCTCCTTTTACTTTTTATATGGCATCTGGTTGCAAACAATTTTTATAATTCATTATCTGACTTCTAAATGCCCAATTAGCACTTACATAAAGATAATCCTTGCAGATCTTGAACCTGATGACAACAACAGAAGGGTTATCTCTATTTTGCAAGTCTCCTCATTCTCCGTTTGTGCTATATGTATTCACCTGTAAACTCTATACTTAAGTCCTTTCCTTCTTTTTACAGAAACCTGACATAAATGGCATTACAAAACCACCTTTCCTAAGGTATGGGTTGTTTTAAATTAAACTCCCCTAAGATATAACACTATACTAAAGTTGGCTTTATTTGTATTGGTAAAGATACAAATCTATTTTGCATTTCATAATGCCTCCTGCTAAATGTGCTAATAAAACAGCACTACTCAAATTCATCACACTTAAGTTTTCCTAAGTATGGTGGCTGGTGATTGTCAGTGATAAAATAAAGGAAAGTCAGCCTATTCAGGATTTCCATTTATGTGAAAGAAAGCAGGATCAGGCTTTTAAACTGGGGTTAAACTGAAGAAAAATGAAATGCAGTAAAGGAAAATTAAGTCATGTTCGCCAACTAGCTAGTTTTATCTGAATTCCAGAATGGAGAAGTGAAAGCTGTGTCAGACTATTTGGATGAAAAAGTATATGTTAGAGTCCTTATCCTGAACCTATAAAGTGTTTGGGGATTCTTTTTAGTCTAGTTAAAACTAAGACAGGATAAACTGCATAGTGTTTTGTAATCTAAAACTATGACTTATTCCTCAAACAAGTATCAAAGAGGAAAGGAGATTACACATCTTACTCAGTGATTATTGTACAGCTCACTTGTAAGATTTTACTGTGGCATTCAGTTCCATGTGTATTTTGGCTAAATAGAAATGTCATTACTAAAAAGTCAATCTTAGAGAGAAAATACATATCATTCCTTGAAAAAGGTGTTAAGACCTCCATTCAGTAAAACATGTTAAGGATTGACTTAAATCCACCCCTCTTCAGCAAAGCACATAAGCACAGACACACTGCTTTACTGTGCTGTCACTTGAGTTACTTTAGTCATGCTAGTTCTCTGTTTATTGCCATTGAGCTTGTAGTAATTTGTATTTTTTTCTCTTTACAGTGGAGAAAATCCTTTTGCCACAGTGAAACTCCGACCAACAGTAACAAATGACAGATCAGCACCAATAATTCGATGAATGTAACATTTAAATATTTTTACTCTTTCTAAACAGCATTTTTGGCAATATGATTTATAAAGGCTATCTGAAGTTGCTTTTAAACTTTATTTAAATGTAATTACTGTAAAGTAGGAAAATATTGGAATAGATTTCTGATTTTAAAAATTCACTTGCTTCCTAAATGCGTAATTGCTCTGGGTTAAAATGTGTGAGAATTTTCGCTTGATTTTACAGTATGCCTTCATCAGAGAGACAATTGTGAAATATAGGGGAAAGTGACCATTGTAGTTAACAGCATAATTTATCATTTATATTATTTCCCCATGAACTGCTACCTTGGATAAGTTCTAGTATTTAAGTTTCCGTATAATATTTACTGACTAGACAAAAGAAAAAAATGATTTTTAATAGGAAATAATACAATAACTGCCTTAATACTGAAAAATATAAGTTTGCTTGTATAAAATGATTATGTATTTCATTATTTTGTTTAAGATAAAGATGTTCTAGGTTAAATAAATAAATAAATAAATAAATATTTATCCTATAAATGAGATTAGATGCATCATGCTTTGCTTGATATTCATACATCAAATAGCGTTTTAAATGTGTAGTACAAAATTATTATAAAAGGTCTGATTTTTTTTTTTCCTTTTCTTCAGTAATGTTCTACTTTACTTTAAAACTAATACTCTTTCAATGAAAGAATATTCTCCTGCAGGACTATAATAATTTTAAAGGGACTGTCAACCTAAATTGGCAAGTTATAATTTTTATATAAATATTACTGCCACAAAACTTAAAATGCTACCATGATTTTTCAAATTCTAATGCAAGTAGTTGCCTTTTCAACAATTTTCCTATGCCTGAAACACTGCAGCCCTCCATATCCAAAAGTTAAAATACACTGTTTACAGAATAACATAAGAGAAATGCAGAAATATGCTAGATTTTTAAATGTACTTGCATGTCCAATATCACCAAAATGTTTAACGAACAGCATGTGGGCGATATCCCTTTAAATCACAGAAATGGAAAACATTTTGGTTCTTTTGCCCATCCATCTGTTATCCGGGATCTGCAGGATTGTTCCCTCCATTGTATTTTTACAGTTGCACTTAACCATGTTCTGCGTGTGGCAGTGTGTAGAACTGAGCCACCAAGCTGAATTCTACTTGTGGCAGCACTAATGACTTATGACTTCAAATCCTCAACTAGCTCAGGCTCTGATCTCCTAAGATAGGCAGAGTTTGGGTAAGGAAATGTCTAGAAAAATGTATGGTGCTGCCAAGTTTTCCCCCTCTGCATCTCTGCTTACCCAACTCCAGCAAAGTTGTTCTGAGCACCATTGTACTGTTGAGAGTAACATTTTCCGCATTGTATGCAAAACACAGGCTTTGGCCCCTTCTGCTCACTAAGGACCCCATTCCACATGTTATGAGTAGCTGCATCGGTACCAGGATCCTGACCCTAATTTGAATACTACATTCTGCCTCTTGCACAGTTTAAACTTTTTCACTCCTTTTCTAAAACTGTATGGTCATTACTAGCTATGTAAATAACTGAATTTCTAAACTAACTAGTTCTAGTATCTAGTTTGTAAAATAAAAAAACAAAAACAAAAAATTCTGCAGTCCTTCAGCATTAGTCTAGCGGGGGTGGATGGATGCATATCTGCACTATATGAGCATAAGAGAATGGATATGGACTCTACTTTTGAAAAGGTCAAATGCAATGATCTGGAGACAGATTTCTGTGATTAGTGTAACCGGCACAAACAAAACACAGACAATCCTGTATTGAAATGGATTGGTGGTTAGTTCAGTGAGTGATTTTTGTCTGACAATAGCCAACACACTGAATTATAGACAGTAAGGTTCCATGATGTATTGAAGTGGGCAATATTAGATCTCACAAGAATGACCTCCTGCCCATGTGATGACCAACTGATACCAGAGCAAATGGTTCTCAAAATTCCCTTAAGGAGATGTTTGGAAAGTATATAAAAAGGACAAGGCTACTCATTAATACCCATTTTCTAGGCTGAAGGAAAACAGCACTACGCTCTTGCCCAGTAAGGACAATGTATTTTAGAGCAAGGATGAGACTGCATCAGTTTAGGTGGGTGGTGCTTGGAAAGTTAGGCCCATCTCTTTTTGTTCCTCCTCCCCCCGCCTCCCCTCCATAAAGAAAGGAGTGGTAGCGCTAGCTTTAGGGTCTCAGTCAACATTCACTCTGCTTTTTCAAGTTAAATTCATGGCCCAGGCCATCTCTCTGCTCACCTTCAGTATCTGCTGTTTGATCTTGGGCAATAACTGTACTACCACAATTTCATTAAAAATACTTTAGAATTCCTGACACACCAAGTGTATTGTGTAAGTCAAATTCTATTTTTCATAACAAGAACTTCTGTATTCCATGCAAGATGCTTAGCAAGTTAAGTAAAAGCAAAACAAACTTGATTGATCTTGGTTTTGATACTGAAATAACTAAACAAGAAGTAGTTTAATAAACATACTTTTTACATACAAAGTAAGTTAGTTATCTCAGTTATGACATAGTGGCTGATCAGCTTTCTTAATATTACACTCAGAAGAAATTGTTCAAATCTAAATTGAACAGTACTGGTAGTTTCAGTTCCTCACACTGATCTGAATGACACTCTCAGCTGTTGATTACTCCCTTACATTCTCTGTGATAGAAGAACCCATTATAGAGGAGGCCTGTTGAAAATTAACAAGGATGTTATCTCTGGAGAGAGAAATCCAGTTTGAGAACTGAAACTAAGCACCACCAAGATGCTTAATGGGATCTTATAGACTGGGCACTGAGTCCCATTGGGTAGAGTGGTTTTCTTTAATCTTCACTAATCTGTAGAGGAGCCTCTGGGACCTCATAAGACTGGGCCCCTAATATAGCCCATGGCCTGTTGTGACCTATTTATAAAACTTTTCTAACAAGGTTATATGAATATATTGTCTCAAATAGTATATAATTAGAAATTATAATCCCGCTTCCATGATGATACCTTTGAGCTTTAGCAGATCTTAAATTAAAACTATCTGTATATAGGGTTGTTGATTTTAAAAAGCATCTTGAAATTTTTTAAATATGTTTAAAATAATTCGGTCTTTTTTTAATTGTTGAGTTTTATCTACCCTGGCTGTTTGTTTTTGCAACACTGCAAGATTTCTTCTAGCACTTGTGTAGTCGTCTTTTTTTTTCAACTGTAGTCTCTTGGGACAATTAATCTGTTGTGTCAGACAGGGCACAGACAAATGTTTTCTGAGGTTGTTTTAATGTGTGGGCCACTCATGAGCATAGATCAGCTATTAGGATGCATCTGTTATATCTGAATGATGCTACAGCAATACAGTTTAGCACAACTGCCTTAGCTTTGAATGAATGAAGCAGGGTCAAAGCTGGAGTGGATTTGCTACACTTATACTATTAGAGGATCATGCAGGCAGTTGCATCCTAACATCTTAAAAGGTAATCCTTAGAATCATAAAATTAGGGTTGGAAGGGACCTCAGAAGATCTAGTCCACCCCCCTGCTCAAAGCAGGACTATCCCAAACTAGCTCATCCCAGTCAAAGCTTTGTCTAGCCCAGGTCTTAACTTCCAAGAATGCAGAGTAACCTGCTCCATTGCTTTACTACCTCCTCATGAGAGAATTTTTCCTAATATCAAACCTAAACCTCCCTTGCTGCAACTTGAGACCATTGCTTCTTGTTGTGTCATCTGCCACCACTGAGAATAATCTAGCTCCATCCTCTCTGGCACCACCTCATTAAATCCCTTCAGTCTTCTCTTCTCCAGACTAAATAAGCCCCGTTCCCTCAGCCCCTCCTCACAAGTCCTGTGCCCCAGCCCCCTAGCCATTTTTATTGTCGTCCAATGCACTGTCTCCAATTTGTCCACATCCTTTCTGAAGTGGGGAGCCCAGAACTGGACACTACTCCAGATGTAACCTCACCAGTGCTGAATAGAGAAGAATAATCATTTTCCTCAGTCTGCTGGCAACACTCCTGATAAAGCAGCCCACTATGCTATTAGCCTTCTTAGCAACAGGGGCACGTGTTGGCTCATTCAGCTTGCTATCCACCGTCACCCCAGGTCCTTTTCTGCAGAGCTGCTGCCCAGCCAGTCACCCCCAGCCTGTACCGGTGCATGGGATTGTTCCATCCCAAGTGCAGGACTTTGCACTTGTCCTTATTGAACCTCATGAGATTTCTTTTGGTCCAGTCCTCCAACTAGTTGAGGTTTCTCTCTGAATCCTAGCCCTACCCTCCAGTGTATCTACTACTACCCCTAGCTCAATGTCATCTGCAAACTTGCTGAGGTGTGCTCCCTATCTTTCAGGTCACTGATGAAGAAGATATTGAACAAAACTGGCCCCAGAACCAACCCCTGGGGCACTCCACTTAATGCTAGCTAGACAGAGCCATTGATTACTATTGCTTGAGCCTGAGGATCCAGTCAGTTTCCTATGCACCTTACAGTCCCTTCATCCAACCTATACTTCCTTAGCTTGCTGGTGAAAATGTTGTGGGAGACCATATCAAAAGCCTTGCTCAAGTTAAGGTGTATTATGTCTACTGCTTTACCTGCATCTCATCTTATAGTAGAAGGCAATCAGGTTGGTCAGGCATGATTTGCCCTTAGTAAATCCATATGGATTGTTCCTTGATACCTGATAATCACTAAAGGAGATGGACAGATCTAGCAACTCAAGTTTCAACCTGAAGTTGGACCCCTTTGTGTAATTAGCAACACTCAAGCAGTAGTACTCCACTCTATGCATTTTTTTCTTAGCAGAAATGTACTAACTTAGTTAATATTCCTATACTGCTCTTCAGACTCCCTTGCTTCTGTTGTACTTACCTGAATTCCTAACATCACAGTTTAGTCACGTGGAATCCGTAGTCTAAGAGTCCTGGTATCACAGAGCTTACCCATGTTGTGCCTCTAGGGTCCCAAAATTGCTTTGCTTTTTACTACTTTACTCAATTGCTAATCATAGTTGTCAATCCCTGATGCCTAAGCCCATCTTTCCATTTTCCCCCTATTACACTGTTTCACATTATTCTTTTCTTGTGGGGGTGGGTATTGAAACAATGAAAGGTTTTAATCTGCTTTACCACCTTTGACTGGTGTTAATCTGTTTAGTTTCTTTAGCATTATAAGAAAATGTAATAGGAGAGAAATAATACTGCCATTAACCACTGACTTGGGATCAGACACTTCATAAAAGGTGCTATTTGCTTCCTGTTAAAGCACCTTGTACTTTCCCAACTTGTTCAATTACCTTCTGTGTTGTCCCAAATATTTCAGTCTAAATGCCATCACCCTTATAAAACCAATAAATATCCTAAGACAATATTGGGTCCAACATCCGATTTTCTAAAGTGATCAAATCCTAAAGCAAGATTTCATTGACCCATCCTCATGCCTGCAGTCAGTTTTGAAGACAGAAACTAGTGTGCATTTACTTTCATGAGGAAGAAAAAGCAGTGGCTATCATTACAATACTTGCCTCGTTGACTTGTCATTTTTCCTTAGTTAGTTTCTTAGCTTTAGCCTGCAGTTCAGCTAGCTCAGTGGAGGCCAACCTTCTTAGCAGACAAAAATCAAGTCTTTCCAATCCCTTTTCCCTTTCAATCTGCTACTCTGCTGCCTGCCCCCTCCCTGAACTGCCACATGCAGCAGGTTGGCCACCCTGATCTAGCTGCATCTCTAAAATATTTAAAATAGTAAAGTTCTCATTAGATGCATTGTTTTAAAATCAGTGCCATACTCCACTTATTAGTGCTATACTCCATTAAATCTGTGTATAAGAGAAGCCCTAGTTACCTCTAACCTGAGCATCCATTCTTCTTGATCTCTAGAAGCCTCATTCTGTAGCTTTTGGCAGCGCTTTAGTAACCATCCTTTTTTTTTTTTTTCCAACTCCCTTTTTTTCCCACTTCTAATGAAGAAACTGATGGTCTTGGAAGGGTCCCATGACATAACTGGGGGGGGAAAAAATTACTTTATTAACTTCATTTCCCAGGTAAACTTGCGAATTATCATCTTAACCCAGTTTGTTTCTAAAACTGCGCTGGAAAAAGTAACATTTCAGGATTCAGGTAGTCCAAGCAAAAACACAAACACAAAACTTGGACTAGTAAACAATGCAAAGACAACAAGACATTTTATTCTCATTCCAATTTTAAAATCTGGATTCTTGCTGGTAACCAGTCCCCCATTACTCTGTCTTCATGTAATTAAGTAGCATCACTATTTCAAATCTCAAAAATAAGTATTTGTTACTTAAGCCGCTAGTATTTCACAAGTATTTGTGTGTGTGTGTACCAGGAGAGCAGACTTTTAATCAGCCCTGGTTATTTAAGGATGATGCTAAGTGGCAAACTGGGTTTTTCTCTTCATTTGTTTAAAGGTATTTTGTTCAAGATGCACAGGCAAAACCAGCAGATAATGGTATAACTTCAAATATAAGATAAGATTTGGTTTAGCCACACATTGAAGATTGCAAAAAGAGAAGCTATTTTATTTAAGTTTCAAAAGGTGCCATTAACATGGAAACAAGGTGGGTTTTCATGTTTTGCAATACACATGCTTATAAAAGATTACATTTTAAATTACATGCAGGAAACTAATTTCTTCACACTTTACAAAACAGGTCTGAAGCATAATCAAATAAAGTGATTGTACATGACATTTACATTAGAAAGAGTACTCTAACAAGGCTGGCCTCCAGAAATAGATTCATCTTGATCCCTTAGCCAAAAGCAGCCCCACAATTCGGGCATCTTCTCTGCCTTAGTGCAAGACAAAACAGGATTCCAATTGGAAAGAATACGATGGCACAGAAGACGCCGAGACAGGTGAAGGTGTCCTCCAGTACACCAACTCTGTAAAAAAGCAGGGGAAAAGTTCAATTACAGACTCCATGGGTACACTAGCACAGGCAGGGATGTTGGTCATACCTCTGAAGTTTCCCAACATCTTGCATTATAAGACCCTGTGAACACTGCTTATACAACTTTGACACATTTTAATTACTTGAGGGGAAAGTTTACAATTCTGGGTTTCTGTTTCAGGCAAAGTTGTTCTAGAAAGGGTCAGCCATTTCCAAGAACCAAGGCTTCCTTTTCCACTCTCCCGCCCCCAACCTATATTCAATTTTAACAAACATTTTTTTGAAAGAGGATCTACCACCTCCATGTATTGGAACAGGATTTGAAATGTGGCATAGGTGGCCTTTGTATTACAGATGCACCAAGCAATAATTCTTCACCAAAAGCTGCAGTTTCCATATGTTCAAATACTTACCAGACCATAACGTGTATACCCTGAAAATCTTAACGCTACATACTCCAGCCAAGAACTGAACAAGCTACTCCCCTTTTGGACTGCTGTGCTTTGGGCCTTAACCCAGCCTGCAGAAGCTGTCTTCTGTGCTCTCAGGACCATACTGCTGATTCCCAGAGTATGTAGAAGTAGGCTCATTTAAATGAGAACAGCCAGATCTCTGGGGTATTGAGAAGGCATTAGCTCAGAACAAGAAACTGGAGAATGACTAGAAGCAGAAATAGCAATGTCCCCTTTATACTCAGATGTCTCAAGGTTTGGACGATTCTTTGGAGATGGTCCAAATCTGCACCTCCTAGAAGAGTGGCCAGACTACCTGGCTCCAGGGCGGAGCACCCAACTGACTCTGCACACCCAGGACATATTTAGGCACTGCTCTGAAGACAAGAACCAAGGCTACCTGGGCCAATACCTTAATTTTTTTACTTTGTAGGTTGCAGAACTGGGTATTCTGGATTGACATGAGATGCACTATTTGGATTGCTTGGTGGTGAATATTGACACTGAATCCTTATTTTTTAATCAAAAGAATATTTGTAGGAGCTGGTATTTACTACCACTGCTTAAATTAACATGCGGCTTTCAGTTGAGATTCTACAAGGTAGAAGCTCAGGCTGCCTATGGAAGCTATATTTCCCACCCCCCAACATCTACTTCTCTCCTGCCGCCTCATTCTTTAATCCTGCTCCCTGCAAACATTTACATGGGTAATTTTATTTTCAGAGAGTCTAAAACTTCCAACAGCACATTGTTTTCTGAAAGTTAAAAACCGTTTACATGAGCTGTGCAGTGCTAAAGTGCTTTTTTCCCCCCCTCAGTTTCCAGCCAAAGGCTAGATCTGAACTGACACTGGTTGCCTGCAAGTCATGTCCCCATAAGCCACCCAGCTCACGTGAAGACTGGCACACTTGAAGTCAGCTACTCCATGAACAAAGAATGCAATCAATCTCATTCCCAAGTTAGGAAATGGGATGGGTCAACGTGTACGTGGAGCTGGGGAAGGCTATTTGGTTTCCCCAAAAAGGGTAAGAGGTGCTGAACAATTCAGGTATCTGCTCTATCACTACCATAGTTTGTTTCCCAGATTGGGGTAAATGCATGCACACACACTATGGCAGAATCTGTTGGCCAAATTCTCGACTCCATTTCCCTGGGAGCAGAGTCTTAGACTCCTTATTCAAATGTTCCCAGATTTATCTGCAGCATCTTGAGGCACAATATATAGGACAAGGTTCACACAAACAGGTGGTATAAATAGAGATTTCGGAGTCCAAATAATGATCAAAAGGCACAATTTTTAAAACAAGTTCTGTTTAGAAGCGCAAGTTCCACTAATGTCAGACCGCATACCCCGATGTAGGACTGAAAAAGCTATCGCTATGTGCTTCTGACTGTAGGTATATTAAGATGATTATTTACTTATCAAGTTTGTTTCCAAGATTCTGAAGTTCTCGCACTAAGTTCATAAAGCTGCAGATGCACAAAAGGTTCACTTCTTTCTTAGCACAAGTAAGGGTAAAAGTTCTTAGGAGAAGGGAAACTATTTATTAGGGGTGCACCGATAGAGATTTCGGGGGCAATACTAATAGTCAACTTTTAAGGAGGCATATCAGCCGATACCGATCTGATTTCCGATACAGCTGTGTGCAGCTGGTAAGTCTGTTGTGGTGGAAGGACAGGGGGGAGGGAAGGGGCATGGGGGTGGGGACAGATCAAACACACCTGTGGTGAGGGAGGAGTTCCCTGGAGCTGCATGGGGCAGGGCAGGCTGCTGCTGCTAGCTAGGGCCAGGGCTGCAGCAGGCTCTTCCTGTTGGGGGCTGGGACTGCAGCCACCTCAAAATTTGCCATAGCCCTCCTATTGCCCCCTTCCCAGTCCCGCTGCCACTCACCCTGAGCATAGCCCTAGCCCAACCCGCCTCCCCCCCCACGTGCCGGGAAGACCCCAGTGCAGCTGCAGCCCACCCTGCCTGCACCCCATGCAGATGCAGGGCCACATGCCCCTCCTCCCCACCCCCTATGCCCTCCCAGGGATGCACACAGCAGCAGGAGCTGCTTCCCCTCGGGACCAGCCGTGGCTCCTTCCCATGCCCTGCTCCACCCCAGCCCCTCCGTCACTGCAGGGGCCTCAATCTACCCCCTCCACCCCACCGCCTCTGCTTCCACAGACTTCCAAGCTGATGGGCTGTGCTCCTCGCTGCCTGCGTGCTGCCCTGCAGCTGCATGCATGCACAGGCATTTATCAGGCCAATTTATGATACAGTCAGTTTTCTTTATCAGTGCCGATCACATATCGAACTATGCATCAGTGCACCTCTACTATGTATATTTGATCAGGAGACTAAAAGGAGTGCAAAAAGCCAGCGAAATTAAAAATTCTAAAATGTGAAGATAGATAAGAATTGGCAATGCATATAAACATTTTAAATTTGTAAGTTTTACTAAAAGGATCTCTTTGAACTAACAGTGCCATTAGAGACATGCCATTGCCTACAATTTGTACTAATTTTCTTCTACCTTGGCCCTAGTTTTACAGGCCTTGCAACTCAAATCTGGTTAAAAGCATCTCCAGTACATTGCACATGATCATTTATTTATATGTAAGCATGAGGTTTCAATATTTTATTCCCATGATGTCAGCTGACAGGCAATAATGGGTCTTAAAGACTCTCTCTCTCTTTGTGAAATAAATTTTAAAAAGAAAAAAAAAAGAAAAGACAAAACAAACTATACTTGCTAAGCAAAACATGATCACGCAGCTGCCAGTCTGGCAGAACGGCAAATGGTATTTACAAAGCAAAACAAATTAGCTATAAAATATTATCTTTGCAGTGCTGGGGATTTTCTTTTTGAAAAGGGGTACAAACCAATCACTGAAGAGTTGCACGTAGTTCCCCTTGGGGGAGATTTCCAAAAAGCACAAGGAACAGATAGGAATCTCTAACTTGGCATTTACACTTCCAACCTGTGCCAGCGTTCCAAGGGAAGAAACAACAGCCTAACTAGGTGGCGCCCTTCTTGCTCACCCCTCAGGAGGCAGTGCAGGAGGGGCGCTGGAATTGCCCCCACCTCCAGAGTCTGCATATCCCAGTAGCACACCCATGGCAGGATTTCCAAACCAGTCCTTGGCGGCTGCTGCTGCCAACACTAAGAGTGATAGTGGAGTGGGAAGGAGCTCAGCCAGGGATTGTTTAGGAGTTCTTGGCACTGCCCCCGTTCCCCCACAAGTTTCACCCTGGATGCCAACTCTGCTTCTTACTCCACTGGGAAGAAATATGGGTTGATTTCTAACTGCATTGACTGAATGGATTGAAGTCATCCTCTTGGTTGCTTTGGTCCATCCTAGCACACCTCACACCAAAGTGTATACCACAACCTGCTGTATTCCTCATCCAGATTCCTGAAGTGAGAAAGGTTGAAGATGTGGCCCAAAGTTGTAAAGCCCATCCAATGGCTTGTCCAGCTTCCAGTCACTGCATTTAAAGGACCTAAAACTAAGATTTGAAAGCTCTCATCCTGGGAAACTGAACCCGCTGGACAATTAATGTAACAGGCAAAAGCCCTCAAACCTACTTCACAAACCGTGGAACTTACCTTCCAGTGGGATTTAATTGCCAGGAGCAGAAAAAAGCCAAGTAGTTGATCCGAGATAAGTACAGGTGATTCTTACCATTCAAAGTTAAAGCCTGTATGTCCCAGGTGCAAACTAAACCTTGAGGATGTTTTAGATGGTACCACCCTGCAGTGGACAAACACTATGATCACTTTTTGGAGAGTGAGGTGTCCCTCACTCAAACCTGTCCCTAAATAGGTGATTTCCCACGTTTCCACAGATCACCACATTCAGAGTTGAAGTATAAAGACTGGGAAGTACAGCACAAGTAAAAATTCAACTGCCAAGGCCTAGAAAGGAACTCTTGCAATCCCCTATCACCCCTTCAATAAACCCAGACTCCATTCTCCTCAGGAATAGGATCCACAGAGTCAGCTACTCCAAACTAGGAATCATTTAATCCAGCCTACCTCTACTCACGCTCAGCCCTTGGTACATCGTACTAGAAGACTTTACCTGGCTGCATGGATGGACAACAGAATCCGCCAAAGAACAGAATGCGGATGCCTTGCTCAAAATCCCTAAAAATTGTCACAACCCAAAGGTGTGATTTTGTTGTGTGTGCTTTGGCACCACTGAATTATTTTCCCGCCAATTTGTAGCTTTCTTTGCAGTGTGCATTTCTTCTTTGCAGCACAGAAATGCACTTTGCAAAGAGTTCCCGCCATTTGTATTCTAATTCGAGCCCCATTATTGGCTTGCGTGAAATTATTCACACGTGGCGGCTAGCGACTGGCTTGCTAGCCGTATAAAAGGCTTGAGTGGTTTCCGCCCAAGTTGGAGGACTCCACGAACACCAGGAGGAGGAGACTTCACGTCTCGTGAAGATCTCTAAGCGCTGCGGAGCCTATTGGACCCAGCGTGAATTTCAAGCAGGCAACAGGGGTCTGATCAGCCTCTCCCCGTCGCCGAGCGCAATCCTCGACGT